TTTTGCTAGAAGTCCGTTTGCCTTTGAGGCTTCTTTTTGTAAACCTCACAGCACGAGGGAGCGTTGAAGAGCCTGGGATACTAGTCCTGCGACGCACCTGCCTTCAGGTTGTTGAACCAAGAAGAAGTCTTTAGCGCCCTCCTGCGAAGGAGCTCTAGGCTTCGGGGACGAGCTTCAGAGTGAGAGTTCTGAGCCCTCAGTCTCACTGCACGGCTGCCTGAGGTCGATTGCGGAAGCCCTTCCTGCCTTACTGTTGGTGCTGAAGCACTGGCCAGGACAGCGTCGCAAGTGCACATAGCCCGACGTTCGGTTGCATCTTCCACGTCTTGTGCTGCGGCAGGGCCGCAAGCAAAACAAGCACATCGAAGATGTCGGTTCTGCAGAGAGGTTCGTGAGCTTGGATCTTGTCTTGATGGTGAGAGGGCTGCCGGGGTTTCGCACTCAAGCCGACCACTTGGATAGGCGTCGACTTCTCAGACCTGCTTTCCGTCGCATCCTGCATTGGACACCGCGCGAAGTCGTTGCTACCTCTGAGTAGACTCAGTAGTCTCGCCGGAAACTAACTTCTCTTCATTCTGAGCCGTTGCAACCAGGAGCCTAAAAGTTAAGCTCGTCCAGGGTCGCCGCAGCCTTCCCAGAAAGCTTCATCTTAACTGCCTCAACCCCTGCCACAGGATGTCATGTGACTTTCCTGGTGCCTGTTGCACTGCTTGCTCTGTGGTGATGGCGGCTTCAGTGCTGTATCGGGAGTGTCTAGGTGCTGGAAATGCTGCCAGGCCATGTTGCGCGCAGCTTCCAGATTATGCTTGAAGTTCATCTGCCTTTGCCAGACACGGATTTCCTCAAAGCCTCTTCCGTCCCAAACCTCGGAGGCAGGACCTCTCGGAGCATGATCCTGCAGGGCTCGCTTAGCTTAAAGGCTTCGGAAGCCTAGGCAGATGCGTCCGACAGGAATTCGGTCCCAGAGCTGCTTTCTGGGTGGCCTTGCTGGTTTTGCAATGCAGGCCCCGGGGCCCAGACCAGTGCCATACGAGGCTGCAGGCAGCAGGCGTTCGGCTACTAGGCACTGGGCATTGAGTGCCATTCTCCGTCATAGTCGAGGCCAAGGAATCCAAGTACCCAGAGTTCTGGACTGGGAAGGATGCCAACTCACGAGTTCTGGGGCTTCACTTACGTCGGCAGGTCGCCTGACAGGGTAGGCTTGCTGTCCCTGGATACCACATGATTGAGATACCTTGCACCACTAGGCACAGACCTGCCGCAGCCACTCAAGAAGTTACACATGCTACGAGGGGCGTGCTGGTGGCCCCATATCTCCGCCATCGAGCGACCCTCCAAGATTGTCATCATTGCTCAATGTTATGAGCCGGGCAATTTCACAATGAGAAAGCTCAAGCACCCGGATGCGCATGACGGTTTCGGTCGGCCACTGTAGGAAGACTCCCAGCAAGTCTCTTCTTTGCAAAACAACCGGTTGCGGGGTTTCTGGAAGCAGCAGAGACCTAGGATGTTCTAGAGCTATTGGGTGTCAGACAGCTTTGTGCCCTGAGCCCTATACACACTTGCTCTGTTGCTTCATCTACGTGGCGTTCCCAGTCAGCCGTCTGGCATCCAATGCTTAGCTAAAGGAAGACGGTGGGCCGCCATCGGATGTGGCAGTGGCCTGCGCCTACGAGAAGTCTTTCGCCGATGTCCGGTGGGCCTGAAGATTCAAAAACTACAAAGGATCCTGTATGGATGCGCATTGGGACGAGGATCTCGTTTGGAGTCCGTCTCATACTCAGTCGTGCCGGGCACCAGGCGAGGCATACTGGCCGGGCATGAGACCGCATTGGCTCTCTCGGAGTACTCTGCCGTCACAGTTTTGCAGTTTTGCATGAGAGTTCTGCCTTCTTGCAGGGGCCTTGAGCGCAAGCTAAGCCGCTAAGCCGCTTGCTTCCTCCGCTGAGCTTGGGGCCTAACGGCACGAACCAGGCGAAGCGAGCTTGTGTTTTGACGGGTTCTGGCCCAGACCGATTTCGAGGGTGTTGCTGCCGGAGTCAAGTTCGTTTCTGACTTCCACACCTGACAGATCCAGCTGTAGACTCTAAGCGCTGTGCCCCAAGCTTCTGCCGAGCTGGTCCTTGCATTTCATACTCTCAGCGCCGGCAACGTCAGTCAGTCGACTCCGAGCCTTGTGTCCCAAGCCCCTAGAGCCCGCCAAGCTGAGTGGTGCTTGCGCAACGGTTCCTTGCGGATTCGCGCCAGTCCTTTGCCAGGCGTTGCACGCAGCAGCTCACGCCTTCAAGCCTCGAGCCTGAGAGCAGTTCAAGTCTGGGCTTCCTCCTAGAAGCCACGGCCACAGCCGATGCTCTGTGGAAATAGGTATCGTTCCGGTGTCTGAGATGATAAGGAGCTGCTCGACAGAGAGTGGTCAGTGGCTTCCGGCAATATTCCTTGACCATTTAGCTGTTTTCCGGCCAGCCTCCAGTTGCCGTGCATGTGAGTTGCCATTCTTATTCAGATGCGAAACAGAGCAGGAAAGACCTCCCTGCACTTGCCGTACATCCTGATTGCACATCCTACGGAAATCGCGAGGGGTCGCTTTCTTTGTCCGAGGCCCCGTGCTCAAAGGAAGCCGGGAGCCTTCGAAAGAGTTCGAAGCGCCGCATGCGTCAGGGCTAGGGAGCGGCGTCTTTGTTGCCCAATGCCACGGGAGGCTGTGAGCCGATCGCCATTGCCATCTTTGGAATTGTCAGGAAGGAGGCGGTGGACAAACTGGAGCTTGGGGTTACAGCAGTTCGTTTTTAGGCTGGGCATCGAAGACCTCCGCGCTTACACTTCCATCATCTGAGCAGGGGGGCGGAAGCAGAAGAATGAGGTCTTCGTGTCAGATAAGAAGAGGTGCAGCTGGCAGACCCAGCTCGCTTTGATTTTCCTGTGGTTCACAGCAGTCGTGTCCTTGGTTGGCCAAGACATTCCGGAGAGTCCTTGCGGCATAGCACGCTGAAGGGCGCAGCAGTTGCAGTCCAGCTCCAAGGCACTCCTCAAGAGGTTTTTCAGCTTTCTGCTTAATTATCCCAGTATCCTTTCCCGCGCTTCTCGGCGAGAGGCGAATCTCCCCTACCTTCACCGTTGCGTCAGCTACCTGTTTCCGGAAGTGCCGCAACTCCGGGGCAGAGGTCCCTTTGAGGGCAGGGCAGGGCCCAGTGAGCTTGGATTTTGAGCTCCTAACTCCTCTGTGGCCTGGTTTGTCAGGGACTCTGCATCTGCGATGCATCGGCGACGCATTGCTCCAGAACCCTGCGCTACGCCCGAAAGTGCATCTTTCAACTCTGGGTCTAAGGAGTCGAAGCGTTAGGACAAGCTGCGCCAGGCAGGTGAATTAAGACACGCAGCGAAGAGCTGCAAGGCAGTTTCTCAACACGTGGAAGCGCTGCGATAGCAAACTCCTGATCAGTTTGCTGTCTTCTCGGATGATGTCCTTTTCTTCATATGCCCTCCCCAAGCGAATTCATGTTCACCTTTGTCTTGCACTAGCTGCGTAGCTGATTCTTCCAAAAGTGTCCGAAAGGCAACAACGCTGCTTAAGCAGCCCCAGCGTCAGCGTGGACTTGTAGCAAAACACAGTGCTGATCAAATAGAGGCAGTGACAGGCATCGAACTTTCACTTCAACTTGTGATTTGTCTGCAAGGGTGTTAGGAAGTAACATGTCCGGCTTTTGTGGGCCTTGCGCTGGTCCCCAAAAAGAGCAGGAAGAGCCGGAAAGATGGAGAGGTCGACGAAAGCATCCTGCTCTCCCAAACAAGCCTTCCTCATGGGGCCCCTAATCGTCCTTCCTTACTTGGGGCCGAAAGTTCGGCTGTAAGTGCCACGTCGTGGAAGCAGCCCGGTAACTGAGCGGTGTCTCCGTGATGAGCTTGCTTCTGCGGCACCGTGCGCTTAGGCCAGATCACAGGGAGTCTTCTGAAAGAAAACCCGTGAGAGCTCAAGGCTGAGAATCTCACGAGACCCGGTGTTAGCCAATCTTGCAGATGTTGGGCTGGCAGGCCGGGAAGCTTGGGGTCAGACGCCCGAGGCGCCAGGCAGCCCCACCCCTCTGGGATCCTAGGCCTAGGGTTTAGGGCCTTTCGGGGTTAGGGCCTCCCTCTTCCAAGGGCTCCTGGCTTCGGCGCTTTCTGGGTGTACGGTTCTAAGCTCGGGTTCAGGTCCGCGGCGATGCCTTTCAGAGCGGCAGGGGCGCTTCCAAAGTTCGGGAACCCACACCGCCCACACCTTCTGCAGAGGGTGCCTGCCACTTATGCTAAGGCGGCCGAAGCACAGCTGTTGCAGAAGCTCAGGCCATGGTCGCCGTGCCAGGCATTCGCTTCCTTTTGGAGGCTTGAAGCCTTGAAATCCGGGTCTACTTCAGGGTTTAGAAAGCAGATGAGCCGCAGCAGAGCAGCCTGATCCTTCCTAGAGCCTAGATCCCTGAGCTTCCAAGCTACAAAGCCCTTCATTTTCCAGACATCACAGAGGTCGAACATAGACCCCCACAGCAGTCTCTGGACTGAAGCAGCTGGGCTGAGGTGGATATTTTCTGGACAGAGATGATCCTCTTCGTCCGAAGGGTGGAAAGAGGAAAAGCTAGGCCGCTTGAGGCACCGCCGAAGCAAGGACTGTTGGAATATCCGATGCAAAGGCTATGCATGAGTAAGCCAGAAGCCCACCGTGCAGCCATGACAGCGTGCCCAGTGGCCATGTGCAGGTCTTCAGGATAATAGGCAACAGTTGTCCATTGTGCCTAACATGATTTCTGCGGCGACCAAAAATTCTGTCACATGCTCCACCGACATTGCGGTTCAAGACAATCAGAAGATGGCCGAACTCAAGGCGCAAATCCTGCGAAAACCAAGATTGCATCTTGGACGCGGTCGCAGCTTCTCCATGAGCTGGGAGAGCTCGGCGAGGAATTGCAGTGAACGCAGATCCTGATTCTGGTTCTGCAGCAGTCTCTGACAAGTCAATCTGAAATTGTTGAATGCTGCAGGCACGCAAACCGACAGGCACGCTTGCTTCCCGACGTCAAGGAGCCTTCACTCCCCTCACCCACGCAGCAAAGCCTCAAAGCTCGACGGCCTTGCGTCCAGGCCCTTGTTCTGCTCCCATTCGCCGAGCTTGGATCAAGAATCCACATATTCCGAAGTCCTACCTCCGTAACCCTGACATGCCTGCAAAGGGAAGCAAGAGTGAAGCCGAGGCTTGTGCTTGGGGTGTTCTTCGGCTTTCGGCAGCTCTCCGACCTCTGAATCTTCAATGCACCGAGCCTGAGGAGTTCCAGGATGATTGCCTACTCGTTCCCCCTTTCAGGGGCTCCGAAACCCTGAGCGTTGAGGCCTTTCAGAGCCTCTGAGCCTCTCGCAGAAGACGGCCCGCTCCCAGAATTCCAGGGTTCTGGAGTCAAGGTGTCAAGAACGGAAGTATTCTTTTTTTCGGGGCAAAGATGCGGAACTTCCGGGGTTCCTGAGGACTCTCCCTCCGAGTGGGCTTCGGCTCGCGTCTTGCGAGTCTTGTGAGGGAAACAGCTGCCTGGTCCTTCTCAGCCATCTCTGTGCCGAGTGATAGCTCGACCCGGCCGCCTTTTCCCAAGCATTCAGGCTTATTCCAGTATGCTTTCTGTGGCAGGGGCGGGCTCACACAATCAATAGGGAAGGTACCTTGGTTGGATAAGGCTCGGCCTACCTGCATTGCAACGAGAGGGTTGCAATCTGGCTGCCCCGGCAGCGTCATTGTAGCGCCTTCCCGCCGGATCTCAGCAAAAAGCTTAACTGAATGGAAGCCACACTTTCGCATTGCACATCGAGCGATCCACCGTCCCACACATATCTCAATACATCCGTGAAGCTTCATGGCCAGGGGACTTGCGCAAAGTTGTACCGTGTTCGTCAGCGCCAGCGGCGTCCACAGAACCTCCCAGCGCACTGCCGGTGCTGGCTAAATCTGCCTCAGCAAGGCTTGTACAAGTTCTCTTGTTGCAACTTTCCACACGAGCCCGCACTGTCGGTGTGAAAATGAGGTCCATCCTGTTCTTGTTTCGCGAAGAAAGCTGTCACAGAGACCTGGGCTTAGAATGGCAGCCGCGCGACAAGGCCTTCGTGCCAGGAGCTCGCAAAGGCTGAGGAGCCTCGGAGTCTCCAAAACTTGCCCAGGCTTTGCGGTTCAGACCCCGAGCAAGAGGCAATAGATCCGCCTTTTTCCCCGCGGCCTGCGTTGAGTGCCCTGGTTGCAGTTGTGTCTCCCAGACTGACATGCAGGTCTCAACAGCATCGCCGAAAGTCGCAAGGCCAAGCTTGAAGGGTACCTTTCCACAATGCCCCAATCTCCTTTCCAGGCGCATAAACTCTCTCCGCCACCGCCCATGGAAACTGGTACCTCAGAGCCTCAGACTGTGATGTGGCGACCAGAACTCGCATTCGCGATCCGACCTCTTAGGTTTTGCGCACCCGTCGCCGCATGTCGAAAAGTAGCTAGGGCCATCTCCAGGCTCACAGAGCTGACGCTGAGAAGGCTTTGTGGATCCCTTCTTTGAGCTTCAAGCAGGGATTTACTCTCCAGGGGAGCCCCCTTTGCCAGGGTTGAAAGTTTAGGTTGCAGAACTGGTGCCGAACAGATTAGGGCTCAGATTTCCTCGCTGTCATGTTGCAGCCTTGTCTCGGGAGCCGTCGTGGACCATACCAAGTCAAAGGCGCACTTGGCCCTCCTTGCCCTGATGGCAGCCCCTAGTGTGTTCCCGGCGAGTTGAACCAGGTCCCTGTAGGCATGCAGATTGGATCCAATCCACCCACACTTCGTCGACGCCGCCGGCGCCGGCGCCTGAGACGTTGTGGTTCCATTCAGTAGCAAGGCACCCCGAAGGCCAAAGCAGATACCTCGTTAGAGATGCTGGTCACCTTCAATGCCCAAGCAGGACGTGCCGCAGTTTTCTGCACACCTCCATGCGTCTTGCAATTCCTGATGTCTTTACGCATAGGGGAGCTCCCTACGCAAAGCCTGCCTCATGCCTGGCTCTAGCGCCAGATCCTTCTTAGCCTAACCTCTTCTTGCAGGCAGCTATTGTAGGGTAGTAGCCTTCTTATCATGGGTCAACCTTGGCTAGATCTTCCAGCGCTTCCGTTTGCCCCTCTTTGGGGGTTTGGGTTTCCCGAAGTGCCCAAGCCCGTAGAACAGGGAGCCCCACGTCGCTGGCTACTGGAAGACCTAGCCGAGAGATCCACCTAACTCGAGGTTTCCACAATTCCGAAGTTCAGGCATCCAAAGCCAAAGGTAACAACCAAGATCTTCAAGCATCTGGACCCCTGACTAAATTGACGGATGTTGCTAGATCCCAAACTCCTAAAGAAGCAGCTGAATGCCGTTCCACTGATCTTCCTTCGTGCCTTAAGTGCAAACTCTACTCTCCAAAACCATTCACCACTCAAAGAGCATCGGCCGTCAATTTAGCCAGAGCTTTCTGATGACTCTTACCACCTGGATCTGGAGCTTCAGGCGTGCCTAAGCAAAGAGTCTTCTGCTGCTGAGGGTTTGGGTGACGAGTCAAACAGTGGAATAGTCAGTAGCCGAATCCCCTTATAGCAGCAATACAACCATAATACGTACTGTATCTCACGAGACCCTATCGTAATTCTCGAGGCCACCATATAAAAGCCTTGGGGCTCGGGGGCAGAGGGTTTGAAAGGCTAAAAGTTTGGAGTTTCGACAGCCTCGCCTTTGCTGTCTCAGCGTCACATCCCTTCTGAAGGGTAACCCGCTCGAGGGTTGGGCTGGAGGTGTTGAGGTAACAGCCCTACCCGCCTAACCCTAGCACGGTTTTGATGACCCGTAATGGTGGGATCCTGGAAGAATCGAGATAAGGCTATGATCCCCCGCTTCGATGCCGCTGTCTGGGTTGTGGGTTTGGGCCCCTTCCTCCAGCACCGGGGTTCAGGGTCTGTCATCTGGAGTTTCGGGTCTAGGGCTTTTGCTCTCTCCTAAACCTCCCCGAAACTGACATAGAGTCACATGGCTGTTTCTCACAAGAGAGCTCTTTGAGAACTCCACAGTAGTTTGGGTGGAACGTCGGCACTTTGGATGTTACAGTGGCAAGGTATTCAGAAGGTGATTGGGAATTTACCAGTTGGTTTCAAGGGCGAAGCTCGGATTATGGAGAATCTCAATTTGGGAGTTTACAGATTTGGCTGCTCTTGTAGATTGTAGACTGTACTTTCCGCATGAGATGAAGCAAATCAACTGCAAATTCATAAACCCGTACCGTACGCCTTAACACGCCGACGTGCTCAGACCTTTGCGCCCCCAGCTCTACAACCCTAAACGTATAGGATCATGTATAGCGCAAGCACAACCCAGAAGCCCGAAACCTACAAACCCTCAACTGATAAGACCTTCAGCTCATACATTGCTGGGCTCCAACTGCGGCTGTTTGAGAGAGATTGGCCTCATTTTCCGAGCTCGTCACCCCTTGCGGCCCTGCAGATTCAGCTGCAATGCCACTCAGCTTGCGGTTTGGTGGTTTAGTTTAGGGTTTAGGTTTTTGGGGTGCAACGCTGAAGCTTGTTTATTCTGAATTTCTATCCAGCTTTTATCCCATAACGCATGTTTGAGCCAGCAGGTGACCCATCGTCAAACTAGTATTCCGCCCTTGGACTTGGCGGTCTGAATAGCTAAAAGCTTGTGGTTTTGGGGTTTAGGGTGTAGGAGCTTAAGACAGTAGGCCATGAACCTTTCACCGTTTCAGGTTGTTTGGGTTCGTGTGTGCGTTCGTCTGTATTCCTCTCTCCCCTGTCCTTTCGTTTCTCTCTCCCCGCCTCTGGTTCTCGCTCTCTGTCCCTTGCACTCTCCCCTCTGACATGCTTTCCGTTCGGTTCATGTTCATTGTCGTGGGACTTCCAGTTGTCCTCCTGAAACTGACCCTGGGCTGATGGGTGTCACCGGGGCCTTCCGGGTCCAACGACTTCTATGCAGTTGGCGAAGTGTGCTCAGACCAGGGTCTCCGTCTAGGCAATACGGGTTAAGGTTTGGCTGTCAGTGGTTTAGTGTTGGTTAGAAGAATGTGGGGTATGTGAGAGTTCAGTACACTTCTGGTTTTGACTGCCTCTGCAAGGTTCACCTGCTGCGCTGCGGAGTGCCTCGGCTGTGCCAGCCAGGCAGACATAGGAGGTTGAAGGCCAAGAGAACAGATGAAGACAGTTTGGACTTCAGAGTTGTCACAAGAGTTATGAGTTGATAACATGAGTTTGTGTAGAACCTGTCAAGATGCCCAGTAGCTTTGCTCCTTCCTGTCCATTTATGCCTCCTGGATCCGGACAGAGAATCAGTTTTGTCGCAAGATGAGTTTCAAAACAGAAGTTGTAGCAGAAACAGCCGAGGTTGTCCCCTAGGGTTTCACCATCTGGGGATAGTCAGCCTGATCCCTGGGCTGGTTCAGGGTTTAGGGTTTAGGGGTTTAGGGTTTAGGGTTGAGTGTATGGCATGGGCTTCCAGGGTCCAGGCATTTGATGTCTGTTGCGTGGCTGTGATAAACAAGTCAGAGAATGATAGGGGAGTCTTCCTTTCATCGCAAGCTCTTCCAAAGGCTTTTATCAGCATCAATCCTCGGAGCAAACTGCAACATACTGTCGGAGCATGAAGAATCAACAGGATGTCCCTGACAAGCAAAATGTGTCCGCGACACTCCCTAGCTAGTGATGGTGCTAGCCACAGACAACATCACCACCAAACCGCAGTCTGACTGCCAAAGAATGTGTATGTGTAGCAAGTCGAAGCTGTGCGAGACAGAGTGTTAAGCCCCGCTATACAACTTCCAGAACTTCGCTGTTGCTGAAAGCATGGGGTGCCGTGCTACAAAGTTGGCGGTTCAAGAGCTGGGCTCTGGGGGTCTGGATTTGTGTTGCGTCTGGGAAGGCTGGTGGCCTTCGTGCTACGAACCCTTAACCGCCGTTTACATAAACCAACAGCCCCCAGGTATAGCAAACAGAGGTTTCTAGCTTTAGCTTGGGAAGATCGTGCTCTGGGCATGGAGGATTTGGAGCCTTTTCGTGCATGGGAATGTGGAGCTTCTACACCCAACACCTCATTGCACTGGATTATAGGATGTCTGCTACGGGGCTTCCAGGATTCAGGCTTTTGGGAGTATGGTTTAGGGTTGGCCCTGTTTGAGGGGTTAAGTGGACAGTTCATTCGCGCGTTATTGGCATCATAGCTGTGCGGCACAGATCACTTGATAGGGAGGTCCCGCAATTCATACCCAAGTCCATACCTGAAATCTGAGACCCTGTGCCTGGATGCAAAACCCCATCGCAGCGACTTGCTAGCTTGTGCGGGATATGAGTTTCAGCTGGGGCTTTAGAGCTGAAGGGA